CAAATCAAACCCCTGTTGGTGTAAGGACTTCCCTGGCTCCTCCTGTCAGCTAAATCTACCCATTTCAGGTGTTCTGTCACTGCTGTCACCTGATTTTACCTAAATCAGCCTTGCACCCGAGGGCTCCTTCTGCTCCCAGCCAGGGACACTGCAGGGCAGCCTCCAGAGCTTAGAATTAGACTCATGGGGATAATGATTATCTTGAAGATTAATTAAGACACCTTGAGGTACACTAGGAAATTGTGAGGCAGAAAGATGGATGTTTTGTTTGAGAAAGCCTCAAATATTTAAAGGAAATAGAAAAGAAAGTCATGGTGTTCTCTCACCTCATCCTGCTCCTGCCTCCCTCCAAGCAGCAATTCCCCCTGTTCCTATTCCCACCACCACATGGCACAGGGTGGCTTCACTGGCCAAAAAAATCACCATCCAAACACTGCACATGCCACCAAACCCTGCATCTGGCAACCCTCAGGGATTTTCCTCTGGGATTTCAGCCCAGCTGCCCTGGAAGCAGCAGAAAGTACAGCTGATCCTGACTCTTCCAGGCAGGATCTTTTCTTACAGAAACAGTTCTTTAATGCACAACAGGCATTGGTCATGGCCCAAAGGTCCCTAACCCTGGTGACAAAGCCATTGGTTAAAATGTCATTGGAAAATCAGCCCTGCTGCTGCACAGCCTCCTGTGCCGGGCTGGCTGCCCACACCACGGAGAGGGGAGATGCTGATCTGCTTCCAATTTGCTTTTTGGAGCTTGTCAGGCCTTCTACATCGAGGAACAATTTTCCTTTTAAGGTGGAACAGCATGAGACTTGTTCTCTTTCAAGAAGATTTCTTGAAGAGGTTATTTATAGATGCTCTTGTGGATGTGGTGGTGCTTTGCATCCCACACGTGTCACTGGGATATGGCATGAAGCTTTCTTGTGGAGCAGTTAATTAGCACCAGCTCTGGAGTCATGCCAGTCCCTGTTTATCCAAGTACTGGTTCCAGACCTCCCAACCTCCGGAGATTTTGTTTGCCACTTTTTATCCCATCAGGTCAACGAGCTGGGTTGTCTCAAGGTAACAGAAGTGATTATGGTAAAAAACCTTCAGAGGAGGAGCTGCCCTTCCACCCTCTGCTCCTTCTTGCACATTTCTTCTCCACACGAGGCATTCCCAGCTTTTCTCCAGGTTATGCTCCACAACCTCAGTTTTCCCCTGCCACAGCTTGTGCCTGTCATCTACCTCCAGATGCCTCTCACTTCTCTGCCTCGTTGGAGGGGTTCCTGGGAAGCAGGGATGCAGCTTTCCTTGTGATCTCCTGCTCCACAGGCATTTTGTTTCCATTTCCATGAGCTCAGAAGCCTTCATTCAGCTTTCCACATGAACACTGTGTGATGTTTTCCATCTCACAAGTCCATTAAACCAACGCCTTTCAGCAGCAGCAGCAAATCAGAGGTGGAGAGCCAAAGGGCTTAGCAGCCAAATCCAGCCCTGGATCTGGTTTGCATTTCCCTGTCCTCTCTGCTTGTTCTTAATTATAATATCACAGAACTGGGGGCTCCCACTGTGCATAAATACGTAGGATCAGCTGGCTGGATTTGGAGCATCTAAATATGCATTTCCACCCCTCAGGAGCTGAGAGCAGGATGAGAGCTAAGGCTAACATGGAATTTAGCCAGTGCTTTAAGCATCTTATTTCCACATAACACTACTGGGGAGCTGCTAAAGATGAGCTGCAGTGGGGAAGGGGATGAGGCTCAGCTGGGACAGGCAAAAAGCACTAAGGCCTGGCCCAAAGCCTGCCCAGCCTCCCTTCTGAGCCCTGCCCTGCATCACCCGATGGGCTTTGTGCTTTGAGGAAACCCCAGTGACCCAACCACGGGCAGGTCATGCTGGGGATGTTCACACCAAACCCCTTCTCCTTCTTCCACTCCCCTGGTCCCAAGCAGCTCCTTTCTGCCCTCCTCTGCCATTGCTCCCGGTGTTTTGGGGGAAAAGAGACTCAGGGAGCAAAACAAAATGAGGGATGGCCACAGATACAGACCTGGAGAGGAGTTAGTTTGATAAAAATATTGGTCTGACCTAGAAAACTCCGTGAGCCAAGTCCTTGGAATCACATCACACCGAAGCAAACAGTTCCCCCGCCCTGCCAAGACAAGCCAAATAATCTCCCATTTTCCTGCAAGTTTCTGCACCAGCCCATGCCAGTGGTGCCCACACAGCTCCCAAATCCCATCTCCTCCCCACAGGTGCACCATGATCTCTGCCGTGCTGCTCCTCTGGACCGTGCCCTGTGTGGCAAACCACATCCTGGGCGGCTTTGCCAAGCGGGAGCTGCAGGAGGGTGCCCAGCTGGCCTGCAGCCTGCCCGGGCCCCCCGGACCCCCCGGGCCCCCCGGCCTGCCCGGGGCTCCCGGCACCGTGGGCAGGATGGGCTTCCCAGGCAAGGATGGCAAGGACGGCCAGGACGGGGACAAGGGCGAGCACGGCGACGAAGGTAAGAGAGAGGTGCTCAGCAGAAGAGTGGAAAGGTGGAAGCTGAGGTGCGACAGCCCCTTCACAGCTACACCTGATGGGAAACTCCTCCGGGAATCCCCGGTGTCCCTCTCCAAGGGGTTCCACTCGCGCATCGCGTCCTGAGAGCTGCCCGCAGTCTCTGTTGGCTTCATTTTGTGATGGTCAGGTTCGCCCTAGGCTGATCAGGGCTCTCCAGAGGAGACGAGGAGGAAAAGCGGAGCCCCTTGAGAAAGGGCAGGCTCGGCTGCAGTCCCGGAGCAGTGTAACGGGACAGCGCTGGCCACAACCCGGAGCAAACAGAGGCGAGGCGGGGCTGGGGATCCTGGCGGGGCCGGGAGGAGCAGCCCCGTGCGGAGCAGCGCTTTCCCCCTGCCTCGCTAGAGAGCACTCCTGCCTCAGCAACGCCAGCGAGCCCTCCCCACACCGGCAGTCTGGAGAGCACATTTCCAGCCACAGCTGCCTTTCAATCTGCTCTTGCTACAGCAGGTCAAGAGACACTGCATAAATCCTCTGATATTGCTCATATCAGATACCACCGAGCCAGAATCGCTGCCAGCCCAACTCCCTTCCCATCTCAAGGCAGCCCCTGCCTCCGGTGTTTGCTGGTTCATCCCCCAGCTAGGCTGAGCTGGGCTTTTTACCATCTCTAGATTTACTTTTACCTTGTTTTAAAACAGTTTCATGGTAAAAAAAACCAAACAAAAAAACCCCAACAAAACCAAAAAAATACATGAGATTAAAATACTCACCTGCTCAAAGTGAGGCTCTGAAAACTTCACAAACCTGACCCAGTCTGTAAAACCCAAACATTTAAAGCTTGTTCTTTAATTCCTCCTTTCTCTCAAGTGAGCCAGATAATGGAATCAGAATTTTCGTCCTTGAAAAGGACAGAGTTCTACTGTTACCACACCAACTCCCTGCCTACCCTGGCTGGGGAGTTGTCCCAGACAGATGTCCAGCCCCTGCTGGGATTTCATTTGGATTCTCACACCAGCAATGTCTTCCTGCTAAATGAAATCTCTGCTGCACTGCTCTATCCCCCTTCCTCCCACTGTATAAATCCTTTCCCTCAAAAGTGATAAGAAAAATTGAGATCATTTGTCTTCCAGGTCCCCAGGGCAGAACAGGAAACCCAGGCAAGCCAGGCCCAAAGGGGAAAGCAGGAGCCATTGGCAAGGCAGGGCCCCGGGGGCCCAAGGGTTTAAAGGGAAATCCCGGGAAAAACGGGGCCCCGGGGAAGAAAGGGCCCAAAGGGAGCAGGGGTGACCCTGGGCTGCCGGGACCCTGCAGCTGCAGCGCCAGCAAGGCCAAATCTGCCTTCTCCGTGGCCGTGTCCAAGAGCTACCCCCGGGAGAGGCTGCCCATCAAGTTTGACAGGATCCTGATGAACGAGGGGGGACATTACAACGCTTCCAGCGGGAAGTTCATCTGCAGCATCCCAGGGATTTACTACTTCACCTACGACATCACTTTGGCCAACAAGCACTTGGCAATTGGCCTGGTCCACAACGGCCAGTACCGGATCAAGACTTTTGATGCCAACACCGGGAACCACGACGTGGCCTCTGGATCCACCGTCCTGGCGCTGAAGGAGGAGGATGAGGTGTGGCTGCAAATCTTTTACTCAGAGCAAAATGGGCTCTTTTATGATCCTTACTGGACAGACAGCTTATTTACTGGATTCTTGATTTATCCTGACCAGGATTATCTCAACGAAGTGTAGGATGAGAAACTATGGGATGGAAAAAATGGGAAATGGGACTCAATCCAGCAAAGTGTGGCCTTACATGGGACATGTCTGGGATTATCAGATGATTCCACATTTGCCTGTGGGATTATCAGTTGATTGCTGCCTGTATGGGCTATTCAGACTTCTCCTTGATGCCATCAAACCCACAGGGTACCAGGCTTTCAGCAGCCTCATGAAGTCTCCCAAAGCCACCCTTATATATTCCATGATTATTCCAACATGCCATGGACATGTAACTCAAATACTGGTGCAGAATGCTTTGGTTATTGCATTTTTATAATAAAGCATGGAAAGCAACATTTTCCTAAAGCTGAGCAGGGAAGTGCCATTGATTGTGTCACTGGGCCTCCTCCCCTACACCCCAGCACAATCCTTGTAACGGAATTAGGCTTTGCCAGCCAGCTCAGAGTCAGGAATTTGTCAGCTGGAGTTGTAAAAGTCCCTCCCAGCCCCATCAAGGCAGTTCTAACAGCAAAGGCATCTGGTCTGCACAGGAAGTGATTAAGAGGTCTTGTTTTTAAGGTTCAGGGCTCCTCTCAGGGCACAAAGTGGTGCTCTGAGCACCACTGGTGTCCTTCAGAGCAGAGAATCAGAAGGGTTTGGGTTGGGAGGGACCTTAAATCTCATCCTGTTCCACCCCTGCCATATATTTAGGAATGGGGTAAGCATTAACATGAGGATGTTTGTAATACCAAGAAAGAGACAAAGACAGAACTTTATTTTATTGATTTTATTGTTGGCTTTCAGTGCACTGGAAGAGACTGGCCTTGCTGCCTTAGGCAATCTTTTTGCTGGTCCTTTTGTAGACTACACCAGAAGAAGTAGAAATCTGGAAGAAAGAACAAACCAAAACTTTGGTTGAACAGTGTAATCAGAGCTCCAGAGTCCCAGGGGAACAGCCCTGGGGATGGCTCACAGAATGTCCTTCAGATTTTTTATTTTGAACTTCAAATTTTGAGGATTGTCTTTGGTTTTTATGAACTACATGGGATCTTTGAGCACTCACCTCTACCAGCTTCCCCCCACAGATCTCTGCAGTGTGGCAGTAGTTGGGGAACTCAGCTACAAGTTTCCCATTTTCTATTTTGACAGTTGCCTGTAAGAGAGAAAGGGTTCACGTTGCTGGGGTTTCTGTTACCAGATTCTGTAAACACCTGCACACCTGATGCTGGAAGTTTATGAGACAGAGGTTGTGTTTTGCACAGGTGGCCTCATGCACGGAGCTAAAATCAGTGGGCTTTAGTTCTTGAATGTTCACAATTTAAACAGACACTTGTTCATCTTCCAGTTCCTGCAGGTTCCAGATCTCCACATCACTCATTAACAGCTCTGAAAACAGTCCTGGCAGGCAGCCCAGGAATGAGTGATGATGGAATCAGGGGATCCCAGGACGGTCTGGGTTGGAAAGGGCCTCAGAGCCCTTCATGTTCCACCCCCTGCCATGGGCAGAGACTCCTTCACTAGGCCTGACACAGGTTTGCTTTTCACCCTAAATCCAAATCCCCCTGAGGCTGGGGAGCTGAAGGGCCAATGAATTTACCTTGAACTTCTTCCCTCCCATGGTCTCCATGTCTGCCTCCTTGCCCACGGTGAAGCTGTTGGTGGTGGTGCGGCCTCCCGGGAAGTGCTGTGTCCAGGTGAAGTCGTTCCCATTCTGCACCACCTCAGTTACAATTTTGCAGTTCCTTCCCATTTCAATCTTGTCACTGGGGAGACCTTAAACAATAAAAAAATGGAGTTTATCAGACCTAAGCTGAATTTGAACTGAAGGATGGTAGCGGTATGTTTGTTCTCAGAGCATCTGATTTGTTGTTCATTTCTTATTTTTATTTTTGTTACAACATCAAAGCTCTGAGTTGAAATTACTGATGTAAAGAAAGATATTGGTACATTAATGCATCTGCTAAAATAAATCTTGCATTCTTTTTCCTAAGAAAGAATACACAGGAAAAATGTACAAAGTACATCAAACATTCCCTTCTCCTTAACCTACACATGCAATGCTTGGAATTTCATGTGTGGGACCTTGGCCTTTTGCTATTTAGCTGCACATACCTATTTTTATATTTGCTCCTGCTCTTTAACTAGATGCACATAGAATTGTGGAATCTTTGGACAGTTTGGGTTGGAAGGGACCTTAAAGATCATCCAACCCCAAGCCTCTATCCCAGGCTGCTCCAAACCCTGTCCAGCCTGACCTTGGGCACTTCCATGGATCCAGGGGCAGCCACAGCTGCTCTGGGCACCTGTGCCAGGGCCTGCCCACTCTCACAGGGAAGAATTTCTTCCTAATATCCCATCTAACCCTACACCCTGCAAGTTTGGATCCATTCCCCCTTGTCCTGTCACTCCATTCCTTGTGAAGTGTCCCTCCACCTTTCCTGCAGCCCCTTCAGGCACTGGGAGGCCAGAGTTGGGTCACCCCAAAGTTTCTCCTCTGCAGCCTGAACCATCCCAGCTCTCCCAGCCTTTTCCAAGTATTTTTATCCAATCCATGCCCCGTTCCTGACCCCAGCCAGACTCACCAATCTTCTGCACAAAGGCATCGTAGTTCTCGTCGCCCTCGAACTCGTATTTGCCAGTGAATGCCATTGTTCCCTTGGGATGAGCCTGGGGAAGCAGAACAGCAGCTGAATGGGAGCAGAATGGATCAGCTGGGCTCAGCTCTGCCTTTAAAAGCCAGCCCAAGCTCTCAGCCCACCTGGCCCACACCCCTTGGAAATGGAGCTTTATGGCCCCCGTGAGTCACAGCGATGCCATCGACCTGTGTGAGATCCGAGGTTATCAGGCAATTGTCTTTGCCAATAACCTGGAGATCAGCAGGAGTCAAGGCCAAAGGCTCAGCTTCCCTTTAGTGCAGATTGAAACAAAATGATGTCTTTTTACTTTTAAGATTTCACTGTTTTTGCATTCAGGATGGAATGAAAATAAAACAATAATGGACCATGCACTGGTTCTCAGCTCTGAAGAGAAAGATCTGAGGAAACTTCTGTCACCACCAGGGTTCTTTTGCACTTTTGATTTAAAAGTGGCTTTAAAACGACTCTTGACTATCCTGAAAACATATTTGATGCTTAGTTTGTTAGTTAAAACTCCTTCAGCTTAGTGCCAAGATTGCTGAACTCAAGGAAACTTCCCTCCCAGCTGGAGCCCACTGCAGAGCAGAGCAGCGTTAGCACGGGGAGCAGGGCAGGGGTGGCACAGAGGCCTCCGTCCTCACTGCTGTGCTCCACAGGAATCTGCTCAGCCTTGGGAAGGAGGTCCATGAACTCGAGCCATAAACTCTCCTGCCCACATAAAACTTGCAGGGACAATTCACTGGTAGAGTAACACCACAGGGACCTTGGGAGAGAGATCAAGCTGGATAAGGAAAGCAGCCCAGTCCTGTGTAAATGGAAGGAGATAATCAGATTATATGAACACTGCTTGAGCTTTTATACTCCCTGTCCATAAAGATCAGATTGTATTGATAGCTGTCAATGCTGAGATGAGATACAAAAATGCTGACAGTTCCACACAGACATGGCCAGGATATTCCATAATGCCATGACATGATTCTGCTGGTTACAAGGAGCAGTTATGCAGAAAAGCTGCATTTGAAGGTACCAGCATGATGTAAATTCCAAGTGTGCGGCATTTGGAGATGGCCAACAGGAATAAGATGTCAGAGAAGTAAAACTCTTGTGGAAGCTCATCCCCAAAGGAGAAGGTCATCCAAAGTGAGCAGTGAATTCCCTCTGCCTCCCGAGTCAGCTGCCTCTGATATGCAAAACAGCCGAGTCTTCAAATGCTTCTGGGAACAGAGGGAGCTTTAAGGAGCCGAATCAAAGCCTCGGATATCTTTACTTTGAGAATTTGCTTGCACAAAATCGTAACACAACGTTTTTGCATTCCTTTTGTCTGGGGAGTCCCCTTGCCCTTGGGTGGCTCCCAGCAGCCTCCCAGGTTTATTAACCTTTCGGAAGAGCTGCAGAAAGCCAGGGAGATTCACTCAGAGACAAAACGAGGATAGGGGAGGTAATTCCAGCAGTGACTGCACCAGGCAGTGCCGGGCTTTGAAGTGCTTTTAGAGCTGGATTGCAACTGAACTGGGAGTACGGATTCAAAACATCAGTGGGAACTCTCCAGTGACCACAGAGTTCCACTTAATGACTCCCTCCGAATGAAACTTGCTGGGGAAAGCCTGTGGAGCCCTGAACCAGCCGTGGCTGGCAGTTCCAGCAGCCCTCCTCAGGAAATGTTAATGATTATTAATTCCTCTGGTACTCAGAGTAATCATTGCTAATGAATTCAGGATGAGCTCATTTGGCGTTAATGCTCTGGGTAATTCCAGGGGAGTCCTGTTAGCTCGGCTTTGTTAAATGCCCGTTTAGTCCGGTCCGAGGTGCTGCCGCTCTCCAGCCCTAAAGAGCAGAGAATTCATTACCAGAATGGGGCTGAATTATTGCACAGCTTGGACAGAGCTCAAAGACTGCACAGAAATGCACCTGGCAAACTGCACAGGTGATACAGCACAGCCTGTCCCTGCCCAGAGGGGACAACAAAACCAGGACAAACAGGAGCTCACCACACATCCAGAGACACAAACACCTGCAGGGGAGGAAGGCACGGATCTTCCAAAAATCCTGTTATCCCTAAAAGAAAATTCAATTATTTTGTGTGACAACACTGCATCAGGAAAACCTTCAGCGTGTCTGGGTCTCCAGAAAAGAAATTTCCAGAAAAACAAGACAACCAAAGGATTCATCCAGGCTGCACAGGCTGGCAGAGCCTCTGTAGGAAGGGTTTGCATCCCACTGAGTGGAACCTCGGGGGGCTGCTGAGGTCTGGGCTGGGAATTAGAGACAGAAAACTGAACCTGGGGAAAATGTACCTGGTACCACAACTTTCTGGGAATTTAATTCCCTCCTTTCTGCAGGATTCTTCCCTTTAATGAGCTATTTATCAGTGGTATCCAGTTAAATGGGATGGGGATGGAGAGCAGGAATGGGAAGCTATCTTGATTTTTAACAACTACAACAGAAGACTTGAATTTTGTTAAGCCAAACAAAATTTGTGTATCCCAAAAAGGCACAAGAAGAGTAATTTTGGCTGCTCTCAATTTGGCTCTCACAAAACTGCTCAGATTCCTTTGAAGTATCATCCTTGGATTAAGAGCCACTGTGGAATATTTTGAACTCCAATGGTTTTAGTCTAATATAGACAATATTTCAAAGGTTGCTAAAAAGGAAGATATAATTCAACTTTATCAGCAGAGTCTTCTGGTCAAAAATCAGAGTTAAAGCTCCTCTCTCTATGGATTTCTTATATAGAAATAGATAAAGTTCTAATAAAGTTAATAACTGACTGCCCTAAAGACAAGAATCGTTGCAACTCTTCTGGACTTTTCTGAGCAAACCCCAAAGCCACCCCCTTTATCTGCACAGTTCATGGGCTGTGTTGTAAAGATTTTATTACTTGATAATATCTGTGTGATTGTCCTTGCTGACACATCAGATAACACAGCTCCAAATGGAGCTTATCCTCCAGGGAATCTAATTGGGATTTCTTCACACATTGTGGCATCCAGAGAAATCCTGTTGTTCCAGAGCATTCCCTCAGCTCTGGCAATTCCATTCAATTCCATCACTGCTCTTTTCTTTCCCTGAGGGCACATCTGGTTTGCAGTTGGCCTTTTGGTATTCCCAAGTCACCTCCTCTCTGTGTCACCCTCTGAAGCCTTTCCTGCTCTCCCTTCCCCTGCAGCTCCTGCTCAGGCTCAACTGGAGCAGTACCTGCCTGGAGCTGGGGAGAAACCACCCCAGGAACCAACCAGAAAGGGATTTGATCTGAAATAAACTCAAAGGCAGACAGGAGAAACCAATATTTGAGTGAATTTTTCTTATGTGAGTGCAGTGTTTAGTGAGTGCCCCACTGAAAATACTGATCCAAGTCAAGTGTGTAGGGACAGAGCCTGAGCACAGAAGGATTTCTTTCCTTGAAATACAAGAAAAGCCAGTTTTCTCTGCACAGAAAGCCTCTTCTGGGCCTCAGCTTGCTTTGATGTGTGTGATTCACAGCAACATCTCACTGCATTCTTTCAGCTCTTTGAAATTGTTTATATTGCCTTGGATACATTTATCAGGAGAAGAAAATACACTTCAGTGGCAGAGAAAATACACACATTTCACGTGCCATTCCTTCCCCACCTCCACACCAAGCAGATCTTTGCATCTCCTTGTTCCAGGAACTGCTTTTATTACATCTGGTGTCCCTCTTCTACAGTTTGATTTATTCCTGAGTTGCTCAGCACTAAGTTGGCTCTTCTTAATCAAACAACATTGATGGAAAAGTGGGAAAATGAGACTGGGTTGATAACAGCTGTGATTTTCTCAAACCCTGGAATAAGCCACATTTCTCTTAAAGATTCCTTCCAGAACCAGAAGAAAAATGTGGAAAACACTTCCAAATCTGAACTTCTACTTAAGTGTTGTTTTACTCTCCTAAACAATGGGAAAGCATCAGGGGCCAAAAAGCCCCTAAAAAGTGGCAGATTGTCTCAGCTGGTCAGAGCAGGGTGCTGACAACACCAGGTTTGTGGGTTCAGTCCCTGTATGGGCTTAAGAGTTGGGCTTGATACCTTGTGGATTCCTTCCAACTCAGAACATTCTGTGATCTGGACATTTGTTCATTTTTTAAAACTTGATTTTTAACCAAAGTTTGCCTTTTCCAATGGCTCAGACTGGTAACATGCACAGGTCACTCTCAGGGTGCTTAAAAGCTCAGTGACTGGGTAGGAGCCAACTTCCCAAAATTCTGCTTCCTTGGGCACAAAGTGCTCCTGCAAAATCTCCTTTGGAAAAGAATTTGCATCCAGGAGTAATGCAGGATCCTGGCTGTCTCTGTGGCTCCCCTGGTGGCTTCAGGAGCAGCAGGATTTGTCTGGCAGCCAGGTGAGCTCACCTGTGCTGGGCCACAGCACCATCCAGTGCTGGCTCCCAGGGGCAAAGCTGCAGCTTCAAAGGCAGGAGAGTAAAGGAACCAAAACACCTCAGCTCCCCCCACATCAGAACTGGGGTTTGTGTCAATTCAGGATCGCAGGATCACAGGCTGATTTGGGTTGGAAGGATGTTCCATTTCCAACCCCGTGTTGCAAAGCCTGGGCGCATAATATGGATTTTGAAGCTGAAAGGGAATCTGTGGGGTTTCTGTTGATCTCAAACCCATCAATCTGCATTTCTGTCGAGCTTTTCTACCTGTGATCTGTACTCAGGGCCTGTTTATACCCTATTTTGGGGGGGATTTTTATCTGCTCTGTTGCCACCCGGCATTGTTTGCAAGCCAGGGCTCACTAGGACTCTTTGGCCAGAGCATTTGAACCTCCTGAGTCCCAACCTGTGGCTGCCTCCCCCTCCTCTCCCAAAATAAAACCTTGCAGGTTATTGGTACTCCCTGCTGTTTTCTGCTGAGCCAAGGCCAAACCCTGGTTCTGTTTTCCCTCCCTTCCTCAGAGGTGGAAAGCAGCTCAGGGAAGGTGTTTGGGCTGTGTGTCCGTGCCTGAAGGAGGAATTCCCCCAGGGAAGCAGGGAATGAACCCCTGCAGTGGCTGTTGGCCATGGAATGATGCTCACAGGTGTGGG